ACTCGTTTCTTGAACTGGTGGGTGAATGATTGATTCACCAGAATACATATCATTCCCCAGCGCTGTTGGATAACAATGCTTACAAGGCCTCCCCTTCACAAAGCAAGGCAGACACTTCCCAAGCTGGACTATGTTGTGACCCAGCCAGACCCAACCACACCTCTAATAAGCTCTTGGGGAGGTAAATTTTCAAAGCAATCTTTGAAGCTAATCTTTCAAGTAGTCAAGGAATGTGGTCTGTCATGAAAGTGGTCTGTTCTCCAGCCCAGGAAAAATTCCCTGTTCCTGGAGGCTGAGTAATATGCATTAAGTCTAAATCATGTCGTGGTACTCCCATATTAGAAGCACTGAGTGTTAAGTTAGTACCGTTTGTATGTAGTAGTGCTGTTTAGTTATTGGTCTAAAACCTCTTGAGCTGGTATTTATTGAATGTTTGGTATGTGCCTGGAGCACGATGCTATGTGCTTTACATGTATTATGTCATTTAATCCTCACAAAGTTCTTATTCTCCCCATTTTACAGATGAGGAAGCAAAGACTCAGAGGGCCCAAGGAATTTTCCCAGGGCCACACAAACACTTTAAAGGAGTATAAATATAACTTCATTTTTATACTGAAATCAAGGATTTAAACTAAATCAAATTCCTTAAATTAAGCAAAGGATCCCAGTTCTTTTCCTTGGATAGTGTCCTGAGATGGACGCAAGTGAATTTCCCACAATTCTTTTCGCTGCTTAAGCCAAGATATTCTTTCCCTGGAGGCCGTACTCAACTTATCCCATATTTGAAATGGAGGTTAATTAGAACTGCAAGTTCTGGCCATCCTGTCGGGGAAAAAATTCATTGTGCTATCCAGAATGCACATTTTCAGTGTATTTTTTTAAGTAACATCTCATAGCTAGAAATGAGCTGATCTTTTCCACAATAAGGCTGTGTACTGTCCAGGCCCTAGTGTGTATAATGCAGGAAGCCCATACTAGTAATGTCATTTGTCATAGATCATTACCAAGTAGCTTTTGATCAACAATCCTGATACATGCAGACATACTCACCCCTCGTAAGTGCTGGTGGGTCCTGGGGCTCTGCCTTCCAACTTCCCACTCCCACTGGGATTCTCCACCCTGCTCAGCGAGCAGCAGAATATTGTCCTCCAAGCTTATTTAGAAAACACAGATGCCCGTCTCGAGCCCAGACACCCTGATGTGTCATCTACAGAGCTGGAGACTGACCATCTACATTTTAGAGTCACTGGGGACTGACACAAGCCAAGGCTAGGAACCACGGCTCATCCACTCCCCCAGGTGATCTCACTCAGCCTGTGGTTACCAGCATCATGTGTCTCTAGCCAGGCTCTCCTGTTTTCAAACCCTTCACCCCAACCATCTCTCCTGGACAGCTTCATCTGGAGGTCCCCTAGGCACCTAAGATCAACGCAGTTTGGGGGCTTTAAAGATCTCCCCCAAATTAGGTCAAGAAGTCAGCAGTGCAATGTTAGTAATTAACAATAATAATTAATAATCACCATTATTACAGAAGAGTGGCAATTTGGAGACTAGATATGAGAAGAATGGGCTTTCCAAGCTTCCTGCCTCCAACTGCGGGCTCCCCAAGGGAATCAGACTTGTAGAGAGGACCAAGGCCATTGCCTTTCAGTGGGCGAGGATGGAGGAGAAGAGAAAAAAACCAGACCCTCCACACTAACTTCACCCCCAAGAACTTCACCCCAAGAAATCTGGACAAAGGTCTGTTACCCACTAACCAGGTAACTCGCTCTATCTCAGGACAGGAGTAAGGTTTAGGCAAAAGGCCAGCAGCACGTAGGAAATGATCCTTCTTCATAGAAGCAGAGGAGTGGGGAAGAGGTATCCCCCTCTGGCAGTGTTCGAGCCAGAAATCTTACAGCCATTCCGTTGTGTCCTGCTTCTGCATCAACTAGGGAGCAAGTCCTGGGCTCTCCTCTGCACCCACCCCTGCTGTGTAACTGAGGCTGTACAATCTCCTACTTGGGTTACAGCAGGGTTCCAACTGCTCTCCCATCTCCAACCCAGCCTGAGTGCTGTGATCAAGTGATCTTTCTAAAATGAAAAACCGATCATGTCACACACATGCTTAAAATTCAGTGGCTCTCTATTCCCAGTAGGTGTTTAAAAAAATTTTTTTTTTTTTCTGACTAGAAGCCAAAGAGTGAGGTATGAATGGAAAGGTTGTTGACTGTGAATGCAGAGCCAGGATGTTTCGTGGGAGGTTGGGAAGGAGAAACGGGATGGGTTTTGTAAAACCCAAAGTCCTTGAAGTGTCTCGCCTCCGTATGAAGAAAGCAAAGTGTGAGTAGCGCTGACTGATGCTGGCGGGATCTGGGATCCTGGATTAGGAAAGCATCGGACGAGACGGGGTGATTTCTGCTGCCTACGTGGAGTGTCTGTCTTGGAATTATGGCATCCACATGCCCCATTTGGGATTATAGCGCCCAGTGGTTGTTTTATCAGAAGTTGTTTTATCAGCACCACTGGCAACAGGCTACGGGGTCAGGTGTACCTTTGTCATTGGTAAAGGCCAGTTTCCTTTGCAGGACACTCAAGGTCTATGTGTGTTGCCTTTTATCCACCTTATCAGCCTCATCTCCCATGATGCTTCCCGACCACCTGCCTCCTCTATTCTTAGAAGCTAAAGTCTGTGGAAACTTCCTGGCTGCTTAACAGCTCCAAGCCTTGGCTCATGCTATTCCGTCTACTGGAATGCCTGTCCTTTCCCATCTGTGCCTGCCTGGCGGACTCCCAACTATCTTACCTTAAGTATAAAGTAGGGTGCATCCTATGACTCTTCTGTGACTCTTGGAGCTAACTGGCCACCTCATCTGCTGAGCCCTCACTGCACCCTGTGTAAAGTTGTCTTATAGAAACTACAATTTATTATGCTTTTATGTGTACGTCTATTCGTTTGAAAGCAACCTTGGGGAAAAGACTTTGTCTAATTCTGTTCTATCCTCAGTGCCTAAGTTCTGATAGGTACTTAATAAACTTGTTTGACTAAGTACTCTCTAAGCCCTACGCAAAGCTAATTTAACAGTGATTAGCACCGCTAAGAATGTGCTAGTGATTATCAAAAGCTATTAGTACCATCAAGAATATGCTGGTGATTATCCAAAGTCATGCAGGGACTTTTTGGCAATGCTGTCATCTGTTCAGTGTTGCTTCGGAGAGCCAACTGCTAAAAAGAATAGAATAGAATAGAATAGAGTAAAATAGAATAAAATAAAATAAAATATAAAATAAAATAAAATATAAAATAAATAAAATATAAAATAAAATACGAACACAGGAACTCTTTGGCTCAGTGAGGAAGCTTCCGATGTGTGAAGTTCTTTAGTCAGGTAAGCACAGTCACCTAGAAATACAGGCACCACGACGGGAAGCAAAGCGGCAAGGGATGGCAGCAGAAATCCCAGACCCCACTCTCCGGGAACAGGATAACCACAGCCACCTGACTGCGCATTTATTGTAATGCATCTGCAGACCCACATGCTTGCAAGGTGAACTAAGGACCTCTGTGGAGTTAATCTGGCATTTTAACAGTCTGAACTCTTCAGAGTAGCGATGGCTAGAATGCTCAAGGTTAACCCTAGGACCCTACAAAACACCAATGATTCCCTTAAAATAATCACATGTGATTAGATTGTGGCTGGTAGCTTCAGCCCTGAATATGCTATCGTGTTCTCATTCACTCATTCGCTCAAGTATTCAATCAATGGCCCTTTGACGCTTGTTCACACGTGCGGATCACAGAAGGCAGAAACGAGTGGGTGAGATGGGAGTGCTGAGCAAAAAGCTAGAAAAGGAAAATGTTTAAAGAAGCTTGTGTCAGTCCTACAAATGCATCATCATCTTGTCTGAAATAGTACAAGTTCTCAGAACCTCAGTAACACATTCAACTGTAAATACAGAGAACATACCCAAAAGTCGAATGCAGTTTTTGTTTTTCTAGGTCAACCTTAGCCTGTATAACCAGAAGATGCTTGCGTGACACGTTGACAACAGCAGGGAACTGCCAAGTCTCTCCGGAAGCAGGGACAATGCCCATGTCACGCCACTGCTGGTGAGCCCGGTCTCCGGCACTGGGCGTGCAGGCAGTGACTTAACTGGTGCCATTCTGGTATCTCTCACTCCACTTCCGTAATCTGATAGTTTATCATCTGATATTCTCAAAACTCTTCCAAAATTCCATAGCAGTAGAATGGGTAGTGAATGAAAAAGAGAGGACTCTTCGGTTTATGTCTGCAGGCACCTTTAATCTTTTCTCCAGCAGGGTTTGCTTGTGCAGATATAAAGTATGCACGTCTTGGCCGATGGCCCAGAGAAACAGAATTTGTCAATAATCTATACAGTGAATATCTTCAAATCAATTGCTTTCTCTGACCCCTGTCCATGCAACAGGTGAGAATTTGATTGTGTGCTATCAGCATTCTATCCAGGTAAAAAGTAGCTGAGTGTAGCAGAAGGCAAGTTCCAACATTTCTTTGGAAAATAATCAAGTTCCTTTTAAATAGACCTACCTATCTGAAATCCCTCAATAATTAACATTGAATTACCAAACCACTCACCAAAACAATCCAATATTTACCAACAAATCCAGGGTCTGACACTTTTCTTCCTCCCTACTTAACTCCAGGATCTTCTTTCACTTGATTTATTCAAAAGGCCCATTTGATCTTCATTTTTAGAGCCTACGATTTTAATGTCCAGTTATCTATTCATTTTAAAACATTCTCTTGAGCATAAAATGATCACAACAGATGTTTTCATTACAGTGGCAATCCACATTTCATTCAATCTATCATTATAATTGTCTTGGTTTTCACGGAACCTTGACGTGTTTTTAAGAGGATATCAAAATCATACAAGAGTGCAAATGTTCCCTAAAAAACAAAAACAAAAAAACAAACAAACAAAAAAAACACCAAACAACTTTTTAGATTGAAATAATCACATGAAAAAAAGAAGCCAAATACAATTTGGGAGTTCAGTTTATTTTTCAAGTTTTACAGTATAAAAAAATGCAACATGTAAAATGTTTTAACAGTTAATTGGGATTGGGGGTGGGACCCAAAAGGGGACCAAATGACTTGGCTGCCAGGTACGCCATGTCAGCTGTAAACACTAACATTGGTACTGATAGATGTCACAATGAGAAGACATCTCCTAGGATACACCTTGTGCATGTGTGTAAGTGTCCTCGTGCGGATGATTGCTGGTTGATCCATTCATTTAGATGTTCGAAAGGCCTCATCAGAGCCTATTCAGAAGTTCTCATACATACGTGGTGACGGGAGCAGAGACTGATTAGCAAAACTGCCCCCTCCCGGTTACAAAAAGCACAGTATCAACTACCAAGAAAGAACGCAAAGTCCCCCGGCCCCGTTTTTGCACAAACCATTCTGTCTCCCTCAGACAGAGACAGATGGTTTTGTCATGGAATCTTCCGGGTTGTAGATCCACAAGTGAAAATTTCTTTCAATACAAAAGCAATTTGTTGGCAAATGAACTTCTCTGAAGACCTGACTCGGCCCTGCTGGCCTTCTCTCTAGAGTCTTTGTTGAGTAAGTGGTCATTCACCAGGTGAGTGATGTTCACCACCCCCATGAGTCGGGACCCAGCCGTTCTCATTCTGGCTAGTGTCCTGTACTCTACACAACAGTTGTACTCACAAACGACTGCTTGGACATCAAGTTTGGGTAATGTCACAATTTAGGGATCTCAGGGGAGTTTGCTATTTTAACTAAACCCTACAGCAAATCCATTATAAAAATAAGGAATTACCACCAGAGTTCGAATTTTATGATCGTTTTTCTTGAAGAATGATGAACCACGTGAAGCGAATCTTCCATTGTTTCTATAACGGAGGGGCACCTCTTCCTACCTGGCCCCTGCAATGGTGACAGTGTGCAACGATCCGAATTCCCTATGACGTGAGTCAAACCAGACTTGTCACCCACAGATCCCATGCCTGGGTCCCATCACTAATTCCCTGAGCGACAGTCTCTGGTCCTCAGAGATGAAGCTTTCCTAGGCTTTGGGCTTTTGGGGGGCTTAACGACTCCTAAATGACCAGCTCCTTTAGAATGAAAGCTCATGTTACATGGGCAAACTCCGATAAATATAAGCAAACACAAAACCAGACAACTGTACATTCAAATATCTGTATGCAAAACTTATTTCAGTGCCGAAAGAAGTGCCAAAGACACTCTGAACACCAAAGCCTTGGCATTTATCACATTTGTCCCACTGCGCCCCACCCCTCCCAGGCTCAAGGTGAGAGTGTTTTTATTCCCCTAAGTCAAACCACTGGTGTTTTCAAGCTGCGAGACTTCGTAATTGTAGATCCTTAGTGCCATATTGGAAGTAACCTTTCACTTAATGCTTCGGCTGTTAGAGATCTGTTGTTGTATCGGGGAAACTCTAAAACAACCCATTAAAAGAGATTTATTTTACAGGTGAGACAAAGCAAACTGGATTATCTAAATAAAAATGGGACAAGGCCTGGCAAGGGAGACTCACAGAGTCCCCAAATTCTATTTTATTTAGCAGTTTTACAGTTTCTTTTCTACCCTTTGGAAATCTGTGCCAATCCCTAAGGAGCAGCCATGCTGAGAAATGGGAGCCCCATCTTCGTTTTCCTGTCCTTTACGGAAAGCAAACAGCAGGAGAGAAAAAGGTAGTCTGTACTCCAAGGAACCAAACTTAAAGGCATCGGAAGAGAGGAAAACTGGGTTTCCAGAGTTCTGTTTCATCAGTTCTGTTAAAACTGTTGAGGGCAACTGTGGGGAAAAAGGGTGGGGTGCAAAGTGCTTGCTGAGAGCACCGATGTCACGGGGAGGCCAGGGACCCCCACTTCCAGAGCTCCTGAGGCGGGGCCTGTGGGTGGTCTTTCTCCCACCCTCACCAGGTGAAGCAGAGCACCAGCGAGAAGCTTCCTCAGCTCAGGAAGAAGCCTGGTCCGCCCGCTGCCCACCTGCCCAAGCCAGCAGGATGGAGGCAGAGGGCCAGAGGGGCAAAAGCAAAGGGTGGCCACCGGAACAACGGCACCTTGGTGGCGCTGGTTTTCCTGGGGGCGGGGCATTCTCAAGTTCTTTCAATTAGAAATCGCAAGGAACATGCCAGCACCATAGAGAGGTTCCCCCTGGTGCAAAGTGCAAGAATCGAAGGGATTCCACCACCTCAAGGAACCCTCACCCCCAGGTTCAGATTCAAGGTCAAGTGTCCTCAGGTCCCTCCTCCACATCCCCAGATGCCAGATCATTTAGATCACACCTCGAGGTACAGAGAGCGAGGGGCTGGAATCAGACATTAGGTTTGAAATCCCATTCACTAGCCACGAGACCTGAGACTGGTCCCCCCCTCCCTGATTGTCCTCCTTCTCACCTGTTAAACTGAGATCGCCCTGCCTCCAAGAAGTTCCCGTTCTAGAACAGCACCTGACGTGATACCTGGGACACAGTGTCGGCACCCTTCTCTTCCTTGTCTGACCAAAATATGTTTTGTCAAAAACATGACCTGAAATCTAATTTTCTAGGCATCAACTTGGTTAAAGTGCAATACAGCAACTTCAATGTAGTGTCTAAATTGCCTTGATTCACTACTGCCCTGAATACCATTTAAGAACTGTGCTATGGGCTTAAGAACGACTCATATTTTATTAACGATGGAATGTGATCACAAGGTTTCATAGTAAATTCACAGTAGTGATTTATTATTATTATTTTTTTTTGTAACAAGATCCATAAAGCATAAACACTACCCAGAAATACTTACATCACTTTATAATCGCAGGATCGCTGCTGGACTATTTAAATATTATGTTAACATTTCTGTGCTACTTTTAGTAATCAGTCTTATCTTTTTTTATGAAGCTCAGTTTTTAAGTTATATTCAGAAACATAGAATAAGGCTTCCAAGGTAGTGAACTTGGAGCAGTGATTATCAGAAAGCTTGACCTTTCTTTCTCTGCTTCTTACTGTTTTCAGGTCATAGGGTCCTGAGGCAGGAGAGAGTCTAATGGATTGTCTGCAGGACATCAAAATTTCCAGAAGACACTTCTATGCTAAAGCCATTTACTCCTGGGGAGAAGCCAGTATAACTGATGGAAAGGAATATAGGAGCCAAGGGAGAAATAACGGACTTTAGAGAAGCCTTCCAAAGGATTGGGTGCTGTTAGGAACTCTCTCCGCCATAGGGTTTGGGGGAAACACAGACACCCTCAAGACACTCATCCATACAAACACATGCATCAATTACCTGCTGACAGAACTAACCCATCTATAGACAACACAGATGTTCAGATGGCTAACATATAAACCAGACGCCGCCTGTCTCGTAAATTACCCTCAAGAGAAATGCACACAGATATGGAAACACATACCCACAAACAAGTGTGCGTCCCCACTTAGGGAACGCTACATCACAGAGCCCAGCCAAAGGGCGTGTGAACCAAGGGCCCGATTCTCTTGGTTTTGTGGAGTGACTAACACTCACTTCCCCAGGCGCCGGGGGTGGGGGTGAGGAGAGTCAGGGTAATTAATTCCTGCCATCTCGACAGAGGACTTGCCACAGAGATACAGCCGTATCTAAACACATGCACGCAAAATGAAGGGGAGCCATGAGTAGGGTGAGAGGGGAGAGGAAACCTCGTCTCATCACCCCCACACACACTGAAAAGGCGCTTGAACTCTAGCAATGAGCCACAATGCTGCATGTGTGCATGTGCGCGCGCGCGCACACACACACACACACACACACACACACACACCCCTCCCCACCCCTCCAGGGCCACCTACCTCCACCCGCCTCTGCACAGAGTTTCTCCTGGCCGTAGATGTGAAAGGGAAGGACAGAGAGGGAAGACGATGAGAGCCAGGCAAAAACCTGGCCAAGCATTTTCTCAAGGGCTTTGTGAACTTCAGCACTAAGTATTCTGGCTTCTGACTTAACCAATAACGCAGAGGATGAATAAACCACAAAGCCTTAGAGTTCCTCCCCCCTCTAGGAATGCAGACTTTTTAACTGTAACATGCAGTTCGTGGACGATTGAAAATTATAATCACCATCAGAAGTAGGCACCGAAGAACAAAAATTACCCACTGGTTAAAACAGCAGCAGGGAACAGAGTGATCTCAGGCACGCACTCCTCATCGGGGTCCTCTACTCCTCACATTGAACATTCATGTTTTAATACCTTAGGCTGAAAGTTATAGAAAATCTATAAACATTTAAGGCAAATGAAATCCTGACTCCTCTAATGTGAAGTTTCCTATATTTTACTAGCCCTCAGGCAGTTTACCCTCTTTTAAAAAGAATAGCCTATTGGTTCCATGGACTGAAATGAAAACGCATCATTTTCGATTGTGTGACGCAGCTTTCTGAAACCTTCAATCTCTTTAATGTCATTTACAATGTTCCCACTGCACCAGCAACTCGAGTTATTAAGGTTTTGAAAGTGCAAAGGCTTTATCCAAAGATCCTGCATTTTATTTTGTTCTTCTTTCAAAGGGGACTCAATACGAAGCCAGTGTCCAAAATCGATATCCAATTTAAAACCGAAACAATAATTTCAGAAAGGCTGACATTCTCCTATGCAAAGACTGGGGGGAGGGAGGATGGGGGGAGGGGAGAGAGAAAACAAATTCCTTAATTTAAACCCCTTTTCACCCTGCTGGGAATACATGCACCAAGGCAGTGACGCCAACGTAACTCCTGGGCTGGGGACTTAAGATCGGGTCGGAGGCACAGTATTTTAGAATGTTGATGAACAGTGTCATTACGAACTACGTGTCCTGTATGTGAACTCTACGGACTTACGGCGTCTCCAGCCGCTGTGTCCCTCCCTGATGCAGAAGCCTCTGACACCCTTAGCCTAGGACATTAGAACTGCTGCACAGCCAAAGTCTCATCCACTTACACCTTTCCTCGCCCCATCTCCCAAAATAGATTTCCTGAGAAAGATATCATAAGGAATGTCCAGTTTGAAAGGACCTAAAGGCAACAGCTAGGAAAAAAGCACCATGGTTACATGGTATGTGTTTTTCATAAACAGAACCATGTAGTGACACAGCACATCCTGGCTCCAGGCCACACTGACTGGTGTCTCCTTTCTACTTTTCCAACACTTGTCTTTTTAAGCAGAAGGCTGTTGATTCGAGAATGCTGTTTACTTTTTCAGGTACAGGTGCGTTACCAATATCCAAAGCCAATTGTGATTTTCAAAAATGATACACAAATACTGCACCACTTTTGGAACGCACAGCCCAGTAAGGGTATGTGCCAACACACACACAGAGAACATTCCGACAGCGCTCTCCTTTTCTAAAGCGAGGTGATTGAATACCCCCAACTTCGTGGGAAAAGCAAGGCCAAATACTTTGTAAAGGTTTGCCATGATACAGGAAGGCAGACGGAGGCACAGACAGGGGCTCCTTTACAGCAGGCCTCCGCCGGGTCAGCTTGCCACAACCCCCACCCCCAAGCCGCGGCTGCTCCCTCTGGCCAGGGGTGAGCCCACTGAAACCAGCGGCATTTCAGAAACCGATCACAGACGAATGGCCCGGGATCCTAAGACTGGCTCCCTCCCTTTCCTTCTCCCAAGCTCAGCCGCTTACCCAATCCCTCTCCCCACTTTCCCAATAACTACAAGAAATTCCAGCACCAGGGCCAAAGCAGCTCCTTCCCTGGTGCTAAGTGGCAGAGGTGACGAGTTGCACAGTGATGGTGGTCAGAAAGCAGGGAGCGGACAGCAGCAGCTGTCACTGCGCCGGGCACTGTTTGGTCTCCCGTGGCAGGGCAGCCGGCTCTGAAGCTTTGGCGAGGACTCATCTCCGTGGGAAATGAGAGGCTCCGAGCTGCACCTGCCAGTCCCTGAGTCCCGGTGTCAGTCTTCCGCCTGGTCCCTATGAGCAGCCGGGAGGAGGACCAGGAGGGGAGGGGCTCCCACTGCAGCCTGGGAGGGACAGCCCAGCAGGCTTGCTCGCCCTGTGTTCTAGCTGGTAGGCACTCTACGCTTCCCTGTGCAAACAATCCCCGGGGCCCACTGGAGGCGGCGCACAAAGCCTGCGAGCCCGCGTGAAGAGCCAGGTCCCGGCAGCCTTCCCTGGCCGGTGTGTGGTGCGTGCAGGGGAGGGCAGGTGGAGGGAGATGGGTGGGCAATCGTGGGGTCAGGAAAGGTCTACCTGCTCCACTCGAGGGAAGCAGGGTCAGAAACAGGACAGGCAGGTTTTCTCCTTGGGGGAGAAAACAACCTAAAATCACGTAGAACTGTAAACGGATAGTGCACATTTTCTGTCGTGACCTCTCTCTGCAGCACTTAAGGCAACAAAGAACAAAGATGAAGGCAGGCGTTTCCTGAACGGCCCGTGGCTCCCGTGGGTGATGTGGTGCTGGACGTTTACTTACACAAACGCATATGTGGACATGTCGCGTCTGGTTTCCCCGAACAGAATAAAGATGTGTCCCCCGGGAGCTCTACCAGGGGGTGGACCAGAAGTGACAGGAGGGCGTGGTCCTGGACAACAGGCGGGGACTAGATGCTGTTAAGGCGAGGCTCCTGAGAGCCACCAGCTCCACTTTGGTTTACAGCTGTCACAGAAGCGCCAGGGAACAGCTTCTAGAGAAGTCCCATCCACAGAAGTCAGATGTCGCCAGTCACTGTTTTCCAGGGTGGACATCCCCTGCTTCCTTCCAAATAAAGTGCGGATGGTGAAAGGACACTGGTCTATCATCTGCCAGTTTCAGTCAGCGATGAAGAAGAATAAAAAAGGATGCCCCTCTGGTATACATATATATATATATATATATATATCTCATATATTCTTTTTTTTTTGTAATAAAGCCACAAATATAAAACTTTTAAACTGAGGTCTCAGACTGTAAGCGAAGGACAAATTTGTGAGATTTGGGGTCTATGAACTCTTCCGAGAGTACGATGAATGGAATTTTCTTCACATTGACCACGAGGCTGAAGTCCAAGCACTTGAGGACGAAAACGATCCCATCCCGTAGTCCGTTAGTGACAGCCTCGTCACTGACCAGTCTCCACTGCGTCGAGAGCCAGCGCTCCTTGTCATACTGCAGGGTGGGGCCTGCGCTGAGGTAACGTTCCAGAAAGGCCTGGAAAAGAGGGGAAAGGCCATCAGGGAAGAATCACCCCACGCCCACGGCAGTGCCACCAGGGGCCTACTCATCCTGTGCCGATGAAAATGTTTCCCAGCAAACCAAGATGGAACCCAGCTTATCATACCGTATTCCCATCAGACCCTCACAACGGAGACCTTGTTGGGTAGGGAAACCTCCTTGGACTTCCTCATTCCCCTCTGCCAACTTCCAACCAGAGGTGGGGGGGGGGTGGGGGTGGTGGTGGCTGGCATCCGAATCTGCCCGGAAGCCATCGCTGAGGCACCAGCCCAGCCAAGGCTCGGCCCCACCACACATGCCACCACTTGTCCCTGTGCTGGGCCTGCCTCCTCTTGCACGGACAGTTCCTCAGGGCAAGGGCTGGCCCCGAGGGACACTGGGGAAATGTAGGCCTAACACATAAAAGGATATACTTGCACGCTTGAAAATGCATGCTGTACCACTCACAGGTTGTGTGACTGTGGACAAGTCATTTAACCTCCCTGTAAGTGGAGAGAGTAACAGCTCCTAACTCACAGGGCCGCTGTGGGGATGAAAAGATTACCTCCAACCATCGCATGGCACAAGGGAAACCCAACCAGTGTGAGCGATGGTGATCTCCCGTGGGACCAATGTGCACAGGGCAAGTCCGAGGGATGCCAGAGCCCATGTCCTTGTCCTTCTGCTCCAACAGTGCTTAGCTCCTTAGCTCCTGGGAGTTCTTGGACAGCACCCCCTGCCCCCGTTCCACCCCAAATGGTGTCCACATGCACTGTTCCTCCTGGGCGTTTACATCTCCTCAGACCACCACCTGAACCTCTGGACACATGAACACACCCTCCTCCAAGCGCTTATAATCACTGGCCTGACTCCCGTGTGACACTCGGCTCAGCGGTGTATTAAATCAATAAATACACTGATTAAGCTGCAAGAAAAGAATGAGCCAGCAATTCAGACAGGATATATGGGGATATAGCACTCTGGTCCTAGACACAGGATGGTTTCTTTGTGCATCCCCTTCCTTCTATACCTCACTCTGCTGCCAAGTATATTATTTCTGATCTGTACGCTTATATTCTAAGGCGGGAAGTACAGCCATGCCTCAACATCCTTCTAATATAAAAATAGCTCTTACGGGGGCACCTGGGTGGCCTCGTCGGTTAAGCGTCCGACTCTTGATTTTGGCTCAGGTCATGATCTTACGGTTTCTGAGATTGAGCCCCTGCTTAAGATTCTCTCTCTCCTTCTGAGCATCTGGATGGCTCTGTCGGTGAAGCATCCGACTTTGGTTCAGGTCACGATCTCATGGTTTGTGAGTTCGAGTCCTGCGTCGGGCTCTGTGCTGACAGCTCAGATTCTATGCCTGCTTCAGATTCTCTGTCTTCCTCTCTCTCTGCCCCTTCCCCACTCATGCTGTCTCTCTCTCAAAAATAAACATTTAAAAAAAATTTTTTTAAGATTCTCTTTCTCTCTCTGCCCCTCCCCTGCTCATCCTCTCTCTCTCTCTCTTTCTCTCTCACAAAAAAGAAACAGCTCTTATGAATGATGAGAAAAAGAAATAACTCAGCAATTAGAGAAATGAAATTAATAATTTATAGAATAAATATTAATAGAAAATGAACATAGTAAAAAAGATGTTCTACCACATTAATAATTCAAGAAACAGGAATTAAAATGAAGAATATTTTTTTTCCTCTTATGTGGACAGTGATTAAAAAGAATGGTAACACCCAACACGCCAATTGTGTGGGAGAAATAAACAATCCTATCTCAGAGGCAAAAGTGTAAAATAGTAACATGCCTAGGAGGGACAATTTGGCAAGATCTGTACCTTTGATCTAGCTGTTCCTCTTCCAGAAATTTATCTTTCGGAAATAGTTACACAGATGCACAAAGACATGTAAAAAAGATATTTGCTGCAACCCTGTTTAGACCAGGGGTTGGCAACATTTTCTCTAACGTAAATATTTTCAGCTTCACAAGCCACACTCTGGCACAACTGGTCAACTCAGTCTGTGTAGAGAGAAAGCAGCCATAGACGATATGGAAATAAAAGGGTGTGGCTGTGTTCCAATAAAACTCGATTAACAAAAACAGCTGAGCCCTGGTTTGAACTAGTGAAAGATCTTAATCCAGATGTGCATCGTAAGCACTGGTTAAACAAATCGTGCTATTCAGTGGAATAAGATGCAACTACTAAAGAGAACGAGTTAGATCTGTAGGACAGAGATCTGGAAGGTACTGACATAGGAAAACAGCCAAGGGATCGTTTTAAATGAAAAAAGCAAGTTTCCAAACTGCGTGTGTGTGTGCGTGTGTGTGCATAAGCTCCCATTTGTGGTTTGCTTTTTTTTTTCCACTTCTACTTTAGACAGACAGACACACACACACACACACACACCCTCTGGAAGCATACATACGGACTCCTTATCACTACGAACAGTTTAGGGTAGTAGAATGGAGAGTTCCCTTTGCACATTATATTTTTCTTTAATGCCTGGATTTTTACACAAAGAAAGAGTGTGAAAGGAGTTTTAATTCAGAAAAAGTATACATTTTTGTTTTAAATGTTTATTTTTGAAAGAAAAAAAAAGAGAGAGAGAGATATGGAGCATGAGCGGGGGGGAGGGGCAGAGAGAGAGAGAGAGAGAGAGAGAGAGAGAGAGAGAGAGAGAGAGAGAGAGAGACACAGAATCCAAAGCAGGCTCCAGCCTCTGAGCTGTCAGCACAGAGCCCGACGCGGGGCTCGAACTCACAGACTATGAGATCATGACCTGAGCCAAAGCCAGACACTTAACCCACTAAGCCACCCAGGCACCCCAAAAGTATACATTTTTTAAACGAAAACGAAAGCAACCAGGACAGTAAGACATCTCAAATAAAAGGAAAACGGCTTCCATTCCACATGGTATCAGCTATCACTTTGCATGTGTAGATGTATCATACTCGTACTTTCTTGCATTCCGTTTTTTGTGACTTAATATTCTAACAAAGACTCTTCTATTTCTAACAGGTGACATACCGTGATTTAGAAGCCACTGGTCTATTTTTAAGTGATGGCCGGCGTGGAGTTATTCCAGATTATTTTGCAAAAATCACCTTCATGTATATTTGTATATGTATGTGACTGCGCTGAATACTTTTTCTAGGAGAGGAATTAGTGAGTCAAAGAAAATGGAAAACCTTACAGACCCCCACTGAATATCTCTGTATTGCTTTCCTGACGGTTGCTACTGATGAGTGACAACACAGCCACACGTTGTACACGTACAGGGCGATGCGTGTACACGGGCCTTTAGAACAAAAGCCACCAATCATTTCATGAGCACTGTATGCCAAGCTCATTTACTCCCTACCTTGTGATTTACACGTCGTGTTGCCACATTTAACATGACTTTCACACAACAGCCCTATCGGGTAGATGCTGCCACTGTCCCCATTTTATAAAAGAGGAAACAAATGTAGAGTGACTTCTACAAAGTCACCAACCAATCAACTGGTGGAGCTGGGATCTGAGCTCCCCTCTGTCTGGTGACTGGTCATTTACTCTATTCTGCTTCCTTGGCCACAGCCCTCTCTGAGATGCACAGCCGTTTCCTGCAATATCCCTGAAAGTATGCTCACGTCATAATTCAAACACCATTCAAGTAAAACTAACTCCACGACATCCAAAACGCCTAACAGAGTGCTGGCATTCTTTCCTCCACTAATAACAGTCATTTATTCAGTCCTTACCATACGACGGGCACTGTCCTAAGCACTTCATATGAACGAGCTCTTTGAGTTCCCAAAGCAGCCCGATGAGGTAGCCCCAATGGATAGAGCAGGAAAGTGAGGCACAGAGCCTTCGAAGCATTTGCCCAAGGTGACCAGCTTGTTGGTGGAGGAGGAAGGTTAGAAGGAGTCTGCTCGGTTCCAGAACCCGCCGAGTACCTTGAACTACTGCCTATACTGTCTCTAAGTCAAAGTCCTTCCTCTGCGTGAACCTAGAGGCTGTCAAAGGGCCATTTAACAAAAACCAATCGCACCCAGATAATACAAAGCTAAGTGGGAGTCATGAATTCTCACGAGTCGGTGCTTTAGAGAAGACTTTGACCATATTGCTCCCGGGCACACCCGACAGTGGGACCTCCCAGGCTCAGGGACAGGTGGCACCTTGGGGGTCATGCTGTTGGTGATGCAGAAGGCCAGGTGCTGCAGGATGCTCTCCATGCTGTGGTAATGCTGCTGTCGAGTGGTGCGCAGGTATTTCTGCAGAGCGCGGGCCATGGAGGGGAAGATGGCCTGGGCGGCCTCCCGGGGGTCCATCACCTCCCCTGGGGCTTTCTGCTGCTCTTCGGCCTGGAGACGCTGGATGTGGATGAAGGCCTCCTCCACGGCCACCACCAGCCTGGCGGGCAACAGAAAGTCATCAGGACGGGGCAAAGGGTCTGGAAGGGCCCCTGCCCGCCTCTGCGTCCCGGCCTGCCGCCAGCTCACCCAGGGCTCACCGCCTTAGCTGTCACTCCAGACGGCTGAGAGGGGACAGAGGGAGAAAGGAAGGCAGGGGAGCCAGAGGGGTGAAGAGGAAGGAGCCCTGGGACGGGGGGATGACCGCTCGAGTCGATTCTGCCACGAACGAGCTCAGGGGCCTCGCTTCAACCCTTCCGTCTCCACAACGAAGGGTTAGAGGAAAAGAGCTGTAAGATTACTCAGACTCTGGCCACACACAGGGCTCTGCACACGCTGAGGGGTGGCCGGCGGTTCAGAAGCAGCCTTGCAAAGAACCAGAGCTGTATCCCCCTTGATCCAGCCACCCACACCAGCAGCCTCGGGGGGAAAAGGAAGGAAGGGGCCCAGCATCCACGATGGAAACCAACTTTGTCCGCTTCCGTTCACATGATCAGAACTTGGAAACCAACAAGGGCCTGGGGGTGTAGGAGGGGGGCCCCTCAAAGCGTGGGCCACGCAGCCCAACGGCTTCAGCATCAGCTGGGAATTGGTAAGACGTGCAGATTCTTGGGCCCAACTCCAGCCCCACTGAATAGTAAGTCAGTTCCTTTTGCAGGTGGGGCCCGGACCCTCAGATCCGTGCTTTAATAAGCCCTCCCGAGGGCGCTGAAGTATGAGAAACCCTGGGATGGGAGACACTCCTAAGGCTTGAGCGTGTCACGTTTACATATGGAGATTTCATTCCGGCAGTAAAAAAATAAAGAAATGAAAAGTCTCTATGACGGGGGGTTATGTCGGGGTGGGGTGGGGGGCGACAGACCTTGCTCTCCGCTTCTTCACCCGCCGCTCGTGCTCAGCCTCTTCATAATACAACTCGTTGTGGCTGGAATCTCGGCGCCGAGCGGCAGCAGCAATCATGGCCCGGGACTGACCAGTGGCATTGTTACTGGGGCCTTTGGGGAAGGACAGTGGAGGTGGAAGAACGGTTTTAATGCCATGGGGCTGCAAAGTACAGCAGAAAGCCAGTACCTCGGTCTGTCAGTACCGTCTACCCGCCTACCCGCACATACACAAATCTCAGAAGGAGCTTCCCAGGAGGGTGGACAGGACCTCCTGTACTCATATTCAGTGTGCTCCCTGGGGGAAGGAAATCTCCCCCAAGCCCCCTGGGATCAGTGGAAATGGAGAAAGAACTCAGGAGGAGATGATTAAAACGTTGGCCAAAATCAACACACGGAGTACGCTGAAGAGGTTACTCACCATCGGCTATATAAAGTTTCAGTTTGGCCCCAAAGGGTATGTGGAACATCACGTTTCGGCAACAAGACAACGAGAGAGAATGAGACGCGACGGGGAGAATGAGGACAGAGATAAAAGAAAGCCAAGGGACATGGAGACACGGATTATGCACAGGACAGCAAGCCATGTTGGAATATCACAGTAGTCACAGTGTTTATTAAAAAAAAAAAAAAAAAAAAAAAAGGACTTGAGGTCTGGCAATATGGCCCGTCTGTTAATACAGACTTGGAACTCGCAGCCCTGTTCCCAGCTGCCCACAGACCACCTTCGCTTTTCAGAAGGACAAGGCAGATCACATGCTTTCTTCTGTATCAACTACTTAGTTAATAACTTGGTTTCACTCGTGGGAATTTATGCTAAGTTTTCAGAGCAGGTGAAATTTACCAACCCTCTGGGAATCCCACCAGAGTGCATATCTCACGAAACCACCTCCCCCCGCCAAAAATGGGGAGGATATCGCCACTAAAAATTGACACCATCCATAAATCACTCGACTTGTTAACAATATGATCCTCTTATAGGGTCTGCAAAGCTCTTGCCCTGACCCGAGGCACTGAGCAAGAAATGACACTGTGTCCTGTTTCTTGCACTTAACCATCTGATAGCTCTGAAATGCAGCTCTGACGTTCCCAGGCTGGCCTCTGGCCTCCGGCCACCCACTCAGCCCCAGCTCCTAGCCAGGATTGAGAAATCCCTGTAAGTATCTCACCAGATGCCTGAACTACTGAAAGTTACGGACTCCATGGACCTAGGGAGCTGAGTCTGTGGGTAGCTTATCCAAAATTTCAAAAGCGGCTTTCTGAGCAGGATGCGGGAAACGTACATCACTATTGTTTTCAATCAGAAAATCCCAAAATGAATGAACCTCCCACATGTGTGGGCTGTAAATCAACATTCCTTTGGAAGTATGTCTGCCTGCAGAAAGAGAGAGAGAGAGAGAGAGAGAACGAAAGAACAAAAGGAAGAAGGGAAGAAAAGGGAGGGAGGGGGAAGAAAAGAAAAGGAAAAAGAGAAGCAAAGCAAAGCAAAAAAATGGTTCTGAACTGAGAATGTACCATAGAGATGGACACTGAGGGGAGGGAGAACCAAACAGACGGACCATAAGGTTGAAGCTAAAGAGTTGCCCAAACTGTGCTCCCTAGATCCACCACCGAGAGACACCATTTCAAGGCACGTACCATCTACATTGTAGACTTTCAGCCCGGCCATGTGCTTGGCTGCTCGGAATTTGGAGGCTGTTAGGAGATTGGGGTTATAGATGGTGAAATCTTTATAGTAATTTTCCAGAACCACCAATGCTGCTCGCTGGATACTGAGAAAAGAGGGCAAAATTAATGCAATGCTTTTTCATTGAATAAGCAGGTCCTAAATGAAAAAAAAAAAAAAAAAATCCTCTTCTGGAGTCAGGACACCAAGGGTAACCTGGCAGACTGGCAGCAGCTCCTGGGTTTCACCACCCCATTTGTCTCCGGGACGAGGATTTAAAGGTGAGACTGGGGGGGCGCCTGGGTGGCGCAGTCGGTTAAGCGTCCGACTTCAGCCAGGTCACGATCTCGCGGTCCGTGAGTTCGAGCCCTGTGTCGGGCTCTGGGCTGATGGCTCAGAGCCTGGAGCCTGTTTCCGATTCTGTGTCTCCCTCTCTCTCTGCTCCTCCCCCGTTCATGCTCTGTCTCTCTCTGTCCCAAAAATAAATAAACGTTGAAAAAAAAAATTAAAAAAAAATAAAAAATAAAAAATAAAGGTGAGACTGGGTTCCGTCATCAAGCGGCTCCCGTGCCTTCTCCCGGGCTATGTCATTAGCCACATCCCACCGAGACAACAGCTGAGAAAGGAATCAGTTATAACTTAGATTTGCTTAGGCTGCACGGAACTTTCCCGTTTTTCTCAGTTTACAAACGAGGGAAGCGAGGAGCCCACAAGGGTCAAGAGCCTTACAGATGGTGGCGGGGCTAACGGGTGAAGGGACCAAGTGTAGGTTCAGCTTTCTCAGGTCTCCGTGCAGGGGCTCCCTCTAAACCCCATCGCCCCTACTGTAAGGAAGGCTGGGCTTTCGGTTTTCTAGAAATCAGAACCAACTACAACCACACAGGGCAGAGGGTGCGTGATAGAAGCCAGCTCCAGTGGGGCGCCTGGGGGGCCAGGCTGGCAGCGCGGGGCCTGCCTGGGATTCTCTTTCTCTGCCCCTCCCCTATTCACGCTGTTTCTCTCATAAAATAAATAAATAAAAACACATAAATACATAAGTGCATGCTGCCTGCAGATATTAGTTAATCCCGATCCCTCCTCTGGGTTCCATCCTATCTGCCCCAGGTCAGCTGGAGCTCCGTGTTTCAGAGGGAGCAAGACCCCTTGAACCCTCAGCTGAGACCTTGACCTTTCTTGGTCTACGAGGCCTTCTGCCCTCGGCCCTCTGCTGTCTCTGGCCCTCAGTAGAGGCATACGCAGCGGGCTCTCCCTGCCCAAGGTCAGGCCCCTAGGAGAGCAGCAGGGAAGAGGTAAGGCCAACAGGTACAGGGGCAGAGGAGGGAGGACGTCCACGCTCCCTACTGGCGGCAGAAGAACCTGCTCTTGGTCAGGACACTCACCACCTCAAAGAAAAACTTGGGTTCATACAGCACTGATTTTCGCATACCGTCGTGTCTGACTCCCACAATCGTTCCAGGTAAGAAAACTGTCGTTCAAAAATCTCTGACCAGGGACACCTGGGTGGCTCGGTCAGTTTTTGAGCATGGGACTCCTGGTTTCAGCTCAAGTCATGACCTTGCAGTTTGTGAGTTCTAACCCTGTCGGGCTGTGTGCTGACAGCGTAGAAGTTACTTGGGATTCTCTCTCTCTCCCTCTCTCTCTCTCTCTGCTCCACGGCTGCTCGTGTGCTCTCTCTCTCTCTCTAAATAAATAAATAAACTTAAAAAAAAAAAATCTCTGATCGGCACACAGGAGAGCTGGAACTCCAATCTGGGTTTACAAACCTCCAGCCTATGCTCTTTCCTTGCGACACGTGGCCCCTGTGGGACAGTGTACGTGCTGACACCAACTCTACAAATTTATTTTTATCTTGCCCTGCTTATTTTCCTTCCTAGCCCCTGCTAAGTGGGTGAGATTACCAGGGTCACTCACAATAGCCCAGGTGCCAGGACAGGGTTGCCCTCCATTCCTGGATGGCCACTGTAACTCTCTGAGTGGCTCAGGGATGTGCACTTCACAGAAAGACAACACAGCCCCCTAACCTATCAGCTGGACACTCTGTCAAACCCCGGCTCGGCTCCCCTTGTTTGGCACAGAGTCTAAAAACGATCCAGAAGTCAATCAGCTAACCTCCCTGATAGCAGGGCCATGGCAAAGCTCTCCCACTTATATCCCAACAGTGCTTCAATCAATGGTCTACCCTCGGCTGCTGCTTAGTATCAGCCTCGACAGGCACACTCACGGGAGGCTGGGAGAATCTGGCGAGACCAGCCCTGTATAATGGAAGTAAGAGTCCTACGAGCAAATGTGCGTTTTAAAAGCCCTAGTCATCCAGTCACACGGCTGCTCAATGTCCCTTCCTCATTTGAGTGCCTCCGTCTGCCCGGCCCCGGGAATGCAAAGGCAGGACGCAAGGGGCTGCTCGTTAGCCAGCCCTACAGAGAACCCAAGCCCTGTGACAGCTGACGGGAATACATGTGGGTTGAGGGAGCACAGGAAAGAGTGCAGGGAAGGTCCAGACTCCCTGAGCAAGCCAAGGGGTCCCTGAACCGAGGTTTTGTGTCACAGGTCTTAAGTCTGCTCAGTGGCTCTCCAGCTCAGAACGACCCGGGCGGGCTCCTCCTTGATGGCTGTCTCTGGTATTTTCCAAAGCGGGGCAAGAACTTCTTCACCCCCACCCCTCCATCCAGAGACTCTCTGCGGCCTGATCACACGTGCACACACACACACACACACACACACACCCGCCCTCATAAGCACCCATCCCACCCCCTTCCCCATGCACTGTCTCTCCAGAGGCTCCGGGCTTGGTGAGACCAGAAGTCCCTGCACACACAGTGTCTCAGTTCATGCACACAGGCGCGCTGGCGTGCAAATATTTCCTCCCACACTACCATATGCACGTGAAAGGTGAAAACATCCCTAGGCTCCTGGATTCCAGCTGAAAGTTATTTCCCTGATCAACACTTAAAACTTAAAGGGCAACTCACAGGCTATTCTCAGGCCCGTCTTCAAAGCAAACCCTCTTGTGGTTGCTGGGTTTGGCTTTTCTGTCCAGCCAGGCCGCAGAGAGGAGCCCAGGGGATCCCGCTAACTCAGTCAGGGCCTGCTAGGCAGGAGAGGGAAAGCTGGATGGGAGCCCGGTGGCCCCATTTCCCAGCCTCTCTACCCCGAAACCACAGACAACGTGCTGTGCTGCTTGGAGAAGGGATGTCCTGCCCAGGCGCAGCTCCAGCACGGCTTCGCTTGCCGGGGTGCCCACCCCACGCCCTGCCTCCTTCTGGCACAGGGCTGCGGGCAGACACTCTCCAAACCGGGCAAGTCCACAAGCCTCCCTCGAAGCCCACTTACGCCAAAGCCCAGGCGGCCCTGAGGAGCGCGCAGGGATGGGGCAGGGAACCCGGGAAAGGAGCTGCTGACGTTACCTGTGTGGCTCTCCGAGTCCTCGAGAACCTTTGCTCAGGAAAACTGTTCAGTTCGGAATAAGGGGGAAAAGTCAGGCAGTGCTCGCCTTCCCCAGGACTGTCACCTCCACAGAGGTACCAGAGTTTCCCAGAAGCAGCCACGGACCGGGCCAGCCCCACTCCAGGCTGACAAGCTGACACAGGAGCTGAGGGACTCCCCTGGGAAGGTTAGAAATGCCTCTAAGAGGGGTGCATGGCCTCGTCCATAGAAAACGAGGCCATGCCTCGTGCACCACTCAACAGATCTAGCAATGCCGGGTACAGAAAGCTCCACATAACTAAAAATAACACATAACTGAAGTCCCAACTTCAAAAAACTGCTTGTGGGGCGCCTGGGTGGCTCAGTCAGTTAAGTGTCTGACTTTGGCTCAGGTCATGATCTTTAGGTTCGGGAGTTTGAGCCTCACATCAGGCTCTGTGCTGACAGCTCAGAGCCTGGAGCCTGCTTCGGATTCTGTGTCTCCCTCTCTCTCCGCCCCTCCCCTGCTCAGGCTCACTCACTCTCTATCTCCCTCTCAAAAATAAATAAATAAACATTAAAAGAAAATCTTTTTTAAATGTTTGCAAAATCTGGATTAAAATGTGGGGCATCTGAGTGGCTCAATCGGTTAAGCATCCAACTCTTGATTTCGGCTCAGGTCGTGACCTCACTTGGGCTCTGTGCTGAGTGCAGAGCCTACTTGGGGTTCTCCCTCTCTCCTTCTCTCTCTGCCCCTCCCCTGCTCATGTGCTCTCTCTCAAAACAAACAAATAAACTTTAAAAAAAAAATTCAATATGCCTTTTTTCACCTTTTTAAAGACAGTAACGTACACGTGACTTAAGCCTTGTTGGTGACTCAGGATGAATGTTTCATGAGTTCATTATGAGCTGTGCCACGTACATAGCCCCGTGAAAATGTCAGACCCCACAGGAGACAGAGGCCACCTGTCCCCACGCCCCACGCTGGGTACTCAAGGCTGTTTCTTCACATCTCTTCTGTACTCCAGCCTTCACTGTGGCTATCAGATTCCTTCCTAGGTGCCGTCTCCCTACCCGCCTCTGGCAATCATCTTTCTGTTCTCATACATCCTCAGCCTGGGTATAAATAGGGAAAAGGGCTTTGGCGGACCCAAGCGAGGAACTCTACTCCAGCTAAGTGACATCCGCTATGGCACGTGAGTCTGAGGTCTATTTCAATCCAAAGTCTAAGGTCTTTTTCATGTCTATTCTGGATCCGGATTCATGCCGTGGACTGAGTCTGTCCGATAACTGACTGTAGGTTAAAAGTAACATGCTACTAATATGGCATTTGGCTTCCAGTAAAAGAGCAATTCAGCAGCCACTGAGGGGAAATCCTGCAGGGCACCAGTGCTGGCCTCGGCCATGCCCCACAATGCCAGGATGCAGGAACACCCTTGTCCTTGGCCGTTGTCAAGGTTCAGTATCTTTCTGCGCCTCTGTCCTTCACCATCTTCCAAACTTGGGGTCTTCCAAGGCCCAAGCAGGCCCAATTTCTTTTAGGAAGCCTTTTCTAAACTCTCTGGTCACCACTGATCTGTCCCTAAAATGCACAGCATCAACAGCCACCACACAGGACCTGTGAGGTTTTCAAGCGTGCTACTCTCTCTCTTCAGCAAGGCCATCAAAGTCCCCAGTGTGCAAGGGACACCTCCTATGACTTCC